GAGATACATGATAAAATCATTTTTTATTAGTGAAAATTTGAGGATTGCATAATACACAAGATTGCGTTATGCGGGCATATATGGTAACTTGAGACAATCGTAACCTGACAATTAGTTGGAGTTAGGACAAAGATCAGTTCGGAAATTCTGAGACTGTCTATTTTCAAACAAAGTAGAGCTTATATCATTTAGAGAATGTTTCCAAATGTCAAGTATCCAATTACGAGCCTACCATTTGGTAAGACTCTTAATGTGGACACGTCATCAGAAAAACGTATTTGATTTAAAAATTTAAGAAAAGTAATATAAAAACTATTGCAGAAGCCATAGTCAACCAAATAGAACATAAGCTAAGAGGGTGATTCTCCTCCTCTCTCCCCCACTCCTGTTCCCAGGGGGTATCTTTTCTTTTTCATTTACAGAATTTGGAGCTCATCATGAGTGCCAAAATAAATAAAAAAAATTAAAAAAAAAAAATCTATAAAAAAATAATTCACGTATATATGAAGATTTTCAATAATATATGTATATTGTCTGGAATGCACCTTCTTGGAAGGGAGAGGAATGACATTCTGACATATGGTGAAAAGGATGCATTGGATATTAAGTTTAGAACTACTGATGCAAACAATGCCCCCAGAAATATGTTGGTGAAACATCCTAAAATTTAAAGAAAAGACTGTTAACATAAGGGTGTCTTAAAATTAACTTCAGAACATGACTGTTATCCTTTTCCATGTGTCCTTATAAACTTCACTTCTTACGGCTTGCTACTTGTTCTTTCAGTAACCCTTTACCTTGAATTGTTCTCAGGTCTTGTATTGGAGGAATTTCAGATTTAAAAAAAAAAAAAAAAAAAATAAAGATAAAATAAATAATCAGCAAATGAACATGTCATCATCAATTTCAAGTGTTTATTTCTTCCCCAATAAAACATTTCCTTAAATCTCTCCTGCCTTTCAATTTCTTTCTCAATCTGTAGGTGGTTGTGAATTATTGGAAAGTTTTTGTTGTGGTGGTGGTGGGGGGGATCTATGTGTTGGCCAGTTTCCCAGGCACCAGGCTTTTAAGGTAGAATTAAAATTGTGTTACAATAGTTCTTGAAGCATCCATGTGGAACTGAAATGTGGGAAATGTCAACTAAGATGCGAATTAGCAAGTGAACCATGAAAACAAAAGAAAGAAAAAAAAAAAAGATGATATTTGCTCGAAAAAAAATAAGCTTATATATATGGGGAAAATGTATGACAAAGCTGAAAAAATTTTCTTGTGACCCGCTTCACTCGGCACTTTCCTCAATATTGCTCTTGATTGAGATATATGTATAGTTGGCCACTCCTATTCAAAAATACCTGTCTACTAGGGCAGCTAGCCAATTCCTATTGCAGACGCTTGCTCAGGCACATTTTTGTGTTTGCTCAACATCCACAGAGCCCACCTGTGATTTATACTACAACTATGCTGAGCAGACCTTAGTTAAAGATTTTAGGAAAGAGCATGTTATCTAGTGTGATCAACAATTTGAACAAGGCCAGCAAGCTCAAACCGTTGGTCATGATGGACTTGTGACTTTGTACTAGCACAGATATCAATGACCCTCAAGGGTTCCATCTATCCAATTTCACTCACAAGATTTGGATCAACCCGTAGTATGGTTTTCAGACACTTTCCAAAGGTGCTGCACACTGGGATCAACCCCTCCAGTCCAATATCAGGAAGTCCCCCTTCCTGGTAAATCAACTATGGTGAGATTTGAACCTAGGTTTCATGGTCAGAATGCAATCATTGACAACCAAACCACTCAGCCATGATTTATATATATATTATATATATATATATATATATATATATATATATATATATATATATATATATATATATATATATATAATAAAAAAAAATACTAAAAGAACTCTGGATTATTTACCTAATGTAGTTAATTTTCCTATTTTTCTAAATATTTTTCTGCGTATACACACAGACACAGTGATAAATTAGCTTATGGATATTTATAGATTATCTAATAATGTAAATGTTACATAAATTGAATTGTGGCAAATAATTACCATATTTGACAAACTATATAGACTGCTAAAAATTGATGATATTTTTTTTTTTTTCTTTTCTTATTCTTATTATATATGGTTGATCAACTTTTGGGGATTGTAAGAATTTTGAGAAGATAATGATTAGACATTCTACTAAACTTATATCTGGGAGGAGGGGTGGATGCATACTTATTCAATATTTTTGTTATTAGTGATTAATAACAAACCTTAATGAAATTCAACTATTATTACCAATTCTTCATTCCAAGCTATATAGAATGGTATTCTGAATGATCACCCATCTATGTACGGTAATTAGGTTCGATTTTTATTTTCTAGTGATCAGAGAAGAAGAAACGGTTACAATGTGATAGGGCTGTAAGCCTGAGAAATTAAGGCCACCTGGTCGTAAACTTTGTCCTCTCTGCTCACTACCTTAGGTTGTAATTTGACTTTGGACTGTCACTGCTACTTAGCTTAACCCCAAAACAAACAAACAAAAAAAAAAAACAAATCTTTCTTAGAGGTAGACTTATATTGTGGGTATAAAATGCAAATTTTTACCATTGGGTTATAAACGAGCGAAACAGCTTTCCTAACAATTACTATAAACCACTTACCATACTTCCAGCAGGCTCAGAAATATATCCCCGTAAAACTTGTGCTTAGTGACTATATTTTGCATACATATACCCAATTCTTACCAATACTGAAAAAGGAATTATGACAAACTACCGATAATGTTCTGTTTTATTACTGTAATTTCATTTGTGTTTTCTTGCTTCATGTTCAGTTGTCAAGCTTGCTTTTTATATACAGTGATGTTTGCTGCTATAACTAAAGGGTTTTGTAATGTACTGATGCTTTGCTTAAATACACTTTTTTTTTTTTTCATCATGACTATGCCGTGTTGAAATGTGGTGTTCCATCTTTTATGGAATCAAATATGGTACTTAGTAGTTCTTTGCCTTTACAAAAATGAGTCTGTATTAAAGTTCAGATTGTATAAACCTTTACCTAGCACTTTCTGTGTGTGTGTGTGTGTGTCATCAGTCCTGGGTATGATGATAAACTACATCCAACAGCAAGGCCTCTTATTGGATATTGGAGGTTTTGAGGAGTGTGGAAGCACCTCTTAATTGCTATTGTTCCCATGTCCACTCTAATCTAGGGTGGTAGCACCTGTTCGGGTCCCAGCTATTGGTAAACATTGAACCCCCAAACAAAACACTATGAAAATATGAAAAAATACATTAGTAGTTAGTAAAAATACCAACAATACCTATTTATAGTAAAAGGACCAGTAATACATTTTATCTGTAGTTGAAGGCATTCAGTTGCATTCAGATTCTTTAGATTTCAGTGTTAAATAACCCATAAAGATTGGTACACTGCTAAGCAAAGTGAACCAAACAACCAACATGAAAGAACATTTTCATAACATTAATCCATATTATATTCAACAATTTGTTAAATCAAACTGTATTCCAAAATATAACTTCAACAAAACTACAATATAAAACACATATGCCTCTAGTACAAACATGTATATGAACAAAAGCTGAGTATCATCTACCATGTATTCAATTGTGAAAGCAGAATAACATTTTTTTATTACTTGAAAGCTCTCAAGAAAATTAAATTTCTGCATTAGATAATCCATAAGGAATTGATATGCCGTTAAACAAATCAATCATGTATGTATCTTCCCTGCTGTAGTTTCCTGAGATATATATCATTCTAGGATCATCATTTTCCAACAGTCAAGATGATCTTTGCCCTATCTAACCTAGCTTTCTCTTGGTGTAACAAGGTGCCTCACATATCTCTAATATATTTCCTTGTTTATTCAAGGATTCACTTGTTTGATCTAAGTGGGCAGGTAGCTGTTACTTGGGATAGCTTTCTGTCACTTCAGAACGGCAGATCAGCTTTTCCCTTCAACCAGGTAGAACTTTAACTTCCCTGCTACCCCTCTGCTAATCTCATCATGACATGCAGCTCTCACGGGTGGTATTGATATTAAGATCCTATTCAAACCCGCCCAGCAGGCAGCCCAGCACTACCTACTGTGACTACCTAATACAAGCCTCTGACAGGAGGTCTTAAATGTCCGGTTTGTTGTCACTTGTTCCCAAAAGTTTTTATTTATTTATCTGTTGCATTATTCTTGTTGGTCAAGTGTGTGGCTGTTTTGGAAGATCCTATTTCTGATTTTATTCATGATTATAAAACATTTTAGACTGACATAAAATTACACACCATCCCCTCCTATGCGGGTGTTTCAACCATAGGTTCTCTCTTATAGAAACCAAAATTTACAAGCTTGCTGTCTTATACTTCTGTCTATGCTGTGATATAACCTATGAATAATTATGGGTTTCCCATCTCAGCTAGCAAATCTAACGGGCGCATTTTTATTTTATTTTTATTAAATCTGTTATTTCTATTTTGTTTGCTGTTATAAAAATTAAAATTAGAAATATGAGATCAGTCAAAAAAAAAAAAATGGAACTAGTTGTACATCTATTTTCATATTTATTTCATCTTTTATATTTACTCTATTAGGATCTTAAAAATGTATGTTAGATATGAGATCAGGTAAAAATAATGGTTTAGAACTATATTTGTATTAATCAATCCTATCTTTTATTTTTATTATTTGATTTGTATTTTTATCTGTACTTTAATCTATATTTCTTTTATATTGTTTTGATTACTGTTAAGATCTTTAAACAAATTGATGCGAGAAATATGAGATCAGATAAAAAAGAAAAAATAATCAGCAGAAACACTTCTCTAGAAGATCCATTTGCCATTATTTGTAAGGAATGTGTCATGTGGCTCTTATGAATTGAGTATTTTGATGTTCGTGACAAAGAAAATGGTATCATAGCCTGCAGGTATTTGTGGAATAATGTTTCCACTCATTGCATATCATTGCCTCTTGAAATGACTGCTGCCGTCAATGAAGGGTTAATGCTGACCTCTGTAGTTATTCAAGTTGAAAAGTTAAATACAAAAAGGAATAGAATAATAAGCAGTCTCTAAAAAAAATCTCTAACCCATTTTTTTAGCCTCTCTCTGTCATCCTCTCTCTTTTAGCCTCTCTCTGTCATCCTCTCTCTTTTAGCCTCTCTCTCTCTGTCATGAACTTTCTGTCATCTGTTATCTCTGTCATCCCCTCTCTTTCATCCCTCTCTATTTTGTCATTATCCTCTTTTATCCCTATTTATTGAATAAGGGTTATCCTCTTTTTATGATTTCTCTCTTTATCCAAACTTTTATCCTCTCTTTATCCCTGTTTTACTTCTCTTTTATCCTCTTATTGTCATCTTTTTTTATCCCTCTTTTAGGCCTCTCTTTTCCTCTCTTTATCCTCTCTTTTTAGCCTCTTTATAGAATTTTATCCTCTCTCTCTTTTATCCCCCAAATTTTTCCCTCTTTAAATTCTTATCTCTTTAGCCTTTTCCTCTCTCTTTTTATCCTCTGTTTTATCCTCTCTCTCTTTGTTCCTTCTCTCTTTATGTCTTTTATCCTCTCTCTTTTATCCTCTCTCTTTTATCCTTCTCCTTTTATCTCTTTCTCCAATTTAGCCTCTCTCTCTCTCTCTCTTTCTCTTCAAGCAAGCAAACAAAAGAACAGATTTGTTGGTAAACCTATGATCAAATCAGTTAACATAACCCGTAATTGATTGAATCGGAAAACCATGTTCAAAAACCACCTGAAGCAGTTGGTTAATAGTTCTTCATGCAAAGGCATGAATCCATTTCTCTTTGCACTCTATTTCATTAACAAATATCTTGACACAATAACAATGTCGTTATTGTTGAGATAGATGAGAGGATAAATGAGCAGTTGGGCAAATAATTCTCTTTTCAATAATACTGTTAATTTTATTATTGGTTAAACTGTTGGCGGTTATTCATTTTTTTTTTTTTTTTTTTTATTAGTATTAACTTTATTTTATTTCTCTTGCTTTTACACCGAAAAAATAAAAAATATAAATAAAAAACATGTGGAAATTAGTCTAAATAAAACAGTCTAAAAAAAATTCAGGCACAAAAGGCAATTTAAAAAAAAAAAGTGAAAATTAACAATCTCTAATGACTATTTTACCTGTTGCCAACCTTGGTAAGTTTAAATTTGTCAAAGTAGATATATATAGGGATAATAGGGTGACACTATTTATTGCAAAGTTAACAAATATATGAAAGAATATCATACTTGTATGCAACATCTTTTTTATGTTGTGTTCCTCAGGACAAAAACAATCATGGCTCTCCACAGCTTCCTTTTTATTGGAGAGTAGACATCAGGTAACAGAAAAATACTATTGTCTTTTCCAAGACAGAATAGTACTTTCCAGTTGCCTACTCCATGATTTTAGATTCAGAGTAGTACTTCTCTTAGACTGGCTGCCAACCAAGGTAGTCTTACCTATTTTCTTCATAGCTAAGTAGAAAAGAAAGGGAGTCATACTCTTTGCCAAGAGAATCTGTGCAAAAGTGAATGCAACATAAATCAAAATAACTTGGACTTGGCTTGCATGATTTGTCATTAAACGAATTAAGTGAGATGCCAAAGCAAAAAAAAAAGGGAGTGTTACAAGAATTGTTTTCTCACCAGTTTTATGTTGACTATTACCACACTAAATTCTTTCTAGAATTGTTCCCCCTGCCAGTCTTGGATAAGACGATAAACTACATCCAAACTGATCAGAAGGCTTTGAGGAGCGTGGAACCACCTCTTAATTGCTGGTGTTCCCAGCTCTATCCTGACCTGGGGTGGTAGCAGCTGTTAGGGTCCCATTTATGAGCAAATAGTTAACCCTCAAACTGGGGTCAAAACACTATCAAAGTGTAAAAATAGGTTTTAATACCAGAAATATTTTGTAAAAAAAAAAAAAAAAAAAAAAATTATTATTTCAGAAATAGACTATTTGAAGGAAAAAATTACCAACAATGAAAATTTCATCAGCATTGAGGTTGATATGCCGTAAAAAAAACAAACCAAACCACTTTTTTTTTTTCTTCTTTGAGGGAGTAAAAACATGAATACCTACTGTTTTAAAATTGTTATTATAACATTTTGTATTTTGTGTATAGATTTTAATTTTTTGTGTGTGTATATATATATATATATATATATATATATATATATATATATATATTAATAAAAGAATGAATGAGTAATATTTTGATGTAATGCATTATGTTCTGTATGCATGCTTTGATACACTATTTACATTATTTGGACTATTGTCCTCATCTTTCTTGCCATATTTATTACGTTTCAGCCATTGTACACTTCAGCCTTCTTCAGGTGGTTGGAATGTCGAACTGAACCCTTTATTTCACTCACTGGGGTAGACTGTCCTAGTTCCACATGCCATGTCTAATGGATGTCAGTTATCAGTCATCTGTTAATTTCCCTCTCCAAGTTCTCCACTGCATTAACCAGGTATTGAACTCACACTCTTTGGGTCCTGTCACTGGATCTAACTGATGCCTTTATCCACTGTGCCATGTGTCCTTGAGGACATTCCAACCACCTGAAGAAGGCCTGAGCATACAATGGCTGAAATGTAATAAATATGGTGACAAACATGAGGACTATAGTCTGAATAATGTAAATAGTGTACATAATACCACATCTCAGAAATATAGACAGGTAAATACATTAAACAATTTTAACTTTATATACATTTTAAGTTTTAGTTTATATATGTGAGTTCTGGGATGCAATAATAATAAACCCTTTCCTCAAAAAAATGGCTTTCTTGTGTTTATATATAAAAAAGTGATTTGTGTCCTCATTAAGTTGTGTTTGTTCAAATAAAATTATATATATTCTGACATTTGAATATTTTGGTAACTTTCTTTCAAAATGGTTTATGGATAAAACAAAAAATTTAATATTTTAATTGAAAAAAATAAAGTTATTTCATTGTTTATAAATAGAGAAAATAATTCAGCTTTAGAAAATTCAACCACAAAAAGAAATCATATTCATGAAAATTAAACGTTGTGTCAAATATAAAGATAAAAATAGTCATCAATGTAAATTTTTAATAATATAATCTCAGAAATATAGACATCTTGTGTTTGTAAATAGAAGACACCATATTTTTTTATCTTTTTTGACCTGTCTTTTATTTATATATTTAAAAAAAAGTTAATTGTTTTTAGAAAATAATTCATTCAGAAAGTCAATCAGGTACAAGTCAAAAAAACTCCATAAAATAAATGGAGATGTTAAACATAGTGACATTTTATTTTAAAAAAATCAAAAGTAAAGGTTAAATTTCGCCATTGGAGTCAAAGAAAACCTTAAATTAGAAGTTTTAAAAAAACTAAATAGGTTTAAAATACCTTGTGCAGTTATCAAAATTATTTAAAATGGAAGCCTCATTCCAAAGTGGTAGTGGGCGATTTCCAGCTTAAAATATTAAAAATAACAGTTAATTGTTTATTTATAGAACCTGTTTCTATGTAACAGAATGCACCTAGAGCTGCAAAGGGAGAGAATTCTACAGTGAAAATTTTCACCTCCAACATGGTAACGGTTAACATATGTAGCAAGCTGATTTTAAAAGAATTCTATTACCTACCAGGATTTATTATCAACATAGGCTATAAAGATAACACTGTGTTGATGATAGATTAATTAATTCTAAGCTAGAATGTTTTGTGATAAGCAAAAGGTGCAGTCCAAGATATGAATTACACAACAGGGATAACAAAAGTAAACAAGTGTAGAATTTCAACCATTTGCTTAGAGTATTAATAGATGATGGAAAGTATGACAAAGAAATTTGAAGATGCACTAGAATAGCAAAAGATGCTTTTCAGAGACTGAAAAACTTCAGAAACAAGAGATTACAAATTCTAGATAATGTGTAGCTTGTTATATGGCTCTGAATGCTGAACAATTTCATTATAAATGTTGTAGCATACCTATGGACGGTAGTGGGTATGTCCCCATTCACATAAATACAGTAGTAAATACTGTATGTTGGTTTGCAGTTGGAAATTCACTTGACTACTACTTCTATGCACCACTGGCGAATCTTATATGTGTTGTTCTTGTCCTATGTATTATCGTTCATTACCAACCTTCATGTGATTATTCTCTTCAGTAACCTTCCCTAGGTTACAACAATAAATTACCACATGATCAAAATAGGGCCATGCTAACATGTTTTCTGGGTGGACGTATTTGTTGGGTTGGGTTGGGTTAAATTCAACATGATCATTGGGTCAAACGAAGCAATGAGTGGGTAGCTTCAAACTCATGAAGTTCAATCAACTCCAGAACAATCTGAAAAAGACAAACATAAGAAGTTAGAAATACTATTATATCTTTGTCATTAAAGGAAGCAGTCTGTCAGGTCAGTGTGAATTTCTTTGTTAAGCTAAGAATGGATTCTCTATCATTCACATGTTATGGAATTGCTTGTGTTACATGGGTTGCTCAGTCTGTTCTTGATTTTGATGTCTCACTCTATGGCTCACACCCTTGGCTGTTTGCCTAGCAACCATATATTTTGTTACATTTCATAGTTAGTCTTTTCTTCTTTCTTTCCTTTACTACCTCGTCTAAGATTTTTATTTCTTGTTTCAGTTTTCCTTCTGAGTCTGCCATAAACATAGTCTTTCATATATTGTTATTATATAAAGTTAGTAACAACTGATAAGAATAAAAGACTAAATTTTCAATTGTTTGTTCACTTTGAACTGTCAAATTAACATCAACTGAAATGAAGGTATGTGTTCGAACATTAAATTGTTTTGCAAAGGAGGTATGAGGGATTTTCTCTTTGTTTTCTCATCAGCTGAATATTTATATATAATATCCTGTTATCTTGTATATGCAGATTGTTAATTCAGCCTGGTTTCCCTTGTTTATCAACATCCATTGAGGCCCAATTCTGCACTTGGTGGCTTTGAGATCACCTAAGTCAACTCTCAGGGCTTCTTTTAATTTTCTGAGGTAAAGCAGAGTATGAAACTTTGTATCTATTAGAGTGAACCCAGTACATATTGTAGTCGCCACAGATCAACTCTTCTTAGATTAAGGTTCCTGATGGACATTAAATTTGATTCAAACCTGGTATTTCCAGCTGTGAATCACATAGTACAAGTCTATTGTCCTCATTCCATGTTTTTTTTTTCTCTCTTATCTTCTTTCATATGCAGTAACCCATTGCGTCTGAGTGTCTTTATTGCCTTGCTTAGGGTGAAATGATTTTATAAAGAAAAAAAACCTGATGTCTTTTTTTTTTTTTTTTTTAATCATTTCACCCCAAGCAAGGTAATAAAGCCACTAAAACTCAAGGGCTTATAGAGTGTAAGAACTTTTACTTAAATAATGCCCTAAAATAAATAGCCAAGTAATCATTTCAAGATCTCTGACTATCAGTGCCATAAAATATTACCTTGAAGCTTGATTTTGGAAGTAAAATTTTCGATAATTTTTCTGATGATGAATTTTTATTAATGTTCGGTTTTTAACTTTCATGATAAAAAGGCAGTTTTTTTTTTTTGTTTTTTTTTGTTTCACTTTAAAACAAGTTAAATCACATTACTGTCATGAGTTTGATCTTCCCTGGGTACCAGACAGTTGTGGCATTTTACCTGTAAATCACAAGACAGATGAAAATAAAATATTGCAATAGATTATGCAGCACTT